CCCCGCCACGGGCGCCAAGGAAAACGTCATGTGCAAAACGGGTGGAGGATCAACCTCGGCGCAACATCGAAAATCCGAAGAGGAGGAGAATCATTGACGGGGTGGGAGAGGAGAAGGAGGCAATTGATCTGAGGGGTTTCGATGGTGTCGAGGCAGGCGACACCGGAAAACGAGACGTGTCACGGGACGCAGTCCGTAAGACACAACAGTCCGACCCGCACGATAATACCGAGGGCGGCGGTGGACGTAGCGAGGGCACATGCAACGAAGGAGAATCGTACGCAGAAGATGCAAGCAACAAAGAGGAGAACAGCGACAGTGGGTCCCGCAACAACGAGGATGGCGATGACGACGATGAAGAGGAGGAAGACCGATCCCGGAGCAGCGGCACGGAAGAAAGATGTAGCGAAGACAATACACAAAACACGTCTTGAATGGAGGAACAAGTGACGGACGCAGCGAGGAAAACAACGCGGACAAGCAGTTAGTCCTGAAGGAGAAGGCAAACGAAGGACGTAAGTACAGAATGGTCGCGAAAAGGGGAAAAAAAATAAAATAAATAAAAATGAAGACAAATGGGCACTCGACATGTTGTTTCCCTCAAACTGTTGTCGTTGTGTGGACGTAGTGCAAAATGGTAGAGAACTGTACGCGTTGTAGGATAAGAAAATCTGAGATACGCTGCAAATAACTAACCACATTTGCAGTTGTTTCTCCTGTGAAGCCATTGTGCGAATGGGGTGCATAACAACTTCAAACTTGTGGGTATTTGCGCGCGTTGTTGCAGGCCGGTGCATATTACAAGGAGGGAGACAGCGCAAGGACGACACGAAGGTGGCCAAGCAATCGGGGGTTGCCACAGGAGAGGAAAGCGAATTATTTGGGAAAAAGCAAAAAGACAGACTGCTGAGGTCCGTCGTGAAAGCTTTTGTGCACTCAACAGCGAAGGACGCAACTTTCTACCCTTCAGAGGACGACTTCTTCAATGCGGTGCAGTTGGCTGCTACCCTTTTGGGAGAAGATGTAAGGGCAGGATGGGGGAAGCATGTAGAGAAGAAGGGTTTGCGGAATGTGCTCATAGAGTGCAACCGAATGATGACAACGGTCCGCGGAGAGTTGTCTTGGCACTTGAGACACTGGTTCTGGGCAGAGAGAGGTGTCCCCCTCGTACGCGGCGCACAGACGGATCACAATAACAATATGGACAACGAACTGCGTTGCCAGATGAGTAAAGACAAAACGTGGAGGAGGAAGGACGAGGAGCCATGGGGAGCGTCGCATTTCAAGAGGGCACTCACAAAAGTGTTCCAAATAAGAAAAGACGGTGAGAAGCTGGGCGTGACGTTGCAGCAAGTAGCGTTTACCGAACTTGTGATCCGCACAGAAATCGAGCAGACGAAGAAGTCAAGCAAGGCGTCGGATCAGTTGCTGCAAATGGCCAGTATAAAGAATGACATAGTGAACACAGTCCGGAGCCGGAACACAGTTATGAGTTTCTGCATTTTCAAGCTCGACACCGATACCCACTTGGCAGATGTGGCTACACAGTACTACAGAGCAGGGAACACAAGGAGAGACATGCGTGCGGTTGACAACAACAGGGACAACGCACAAGACTTTGAATTTGAAGTGCTGGTGCCACACACACAATCACGAGCTTCGTGCTGAGGACCTTCGAAACTTGTCCCGGACTGGCACTCCTGTTCTTCAGACAGATGACGCATGGTGAAAGACGTGGTGGTACTGCGTGTCTGCAACTCCTACCAAAGGAAGACGTCGAGAGAGAGAGAGAGAGAGAGAGAGAGAGAGAGAGAGAGAGAGAGAGAGAGAGAGAGAGAGAGAGAGTGGGAGAGAGAGAGAGATAGAGAAATATATATATATAGATAGAGAGAGAGAGAGAGAGAGAGAGAGATGACA